TTTACATACACCCTTATCATTAGTGTTTGCAATTGCTAGCCTAGACAGCTCCCTGTTTAGCATGATGGCTGTTGTAAATTGTTCTAACTCCCCCAAGCATAGGTCAGAGAGACCAAGTACCTAGCTCAGGGCTACAGTTTCTACTACAGAAACCAGGCAGCTAATGGTTAGATGCTATGGTGCTGGGTGTTGTGCAACTTAAGTACCTGATCACAGATACAAGAACAATGACCCAATGGACACAGCCACGCAGATTCCAGTACTTATAATTCTGCTGTTTTTTACAAGAAGGAATAATCCCCTGAAATCCAAAAGTGAAAGGTGTCCTAGTTAGATAAATTAGGTAGGCAGACGTCCTTGTCATCCCTGCACAGCCACAACACTAAGTGTGCCTTTGGTAAACAAATGTAGAACACTGTCATCGCTGCAAAAATATATGCACTGCTTGGCCCCGGTCAGGGAGATGTCCTTACGGTCTTTATCCTGACGTAAAGGCTTTTGAGCAAGTTTTACTGAGGGCATTTGGAACGAAAAGCTCTCTTGATCTGTAGGCATAGGCAGATCTCACAGGTCATTACACTCACAGACCCAGGGGCCTTCCAAACCTTTTTTTTAATTCTGCTTCTTTCAAGTAGCTGTCTAGCTGGGGATTGTGAAGCCCAGGAGCCAAGTGATGCTGGCAGACTTGACAAGGTTTCCTGCCAGCTGGTGGGAAGTAAGTGGAGGAATTCCTGGGCTTGTCTCATTGGCTAAGTGCAAACAGTCAAAAAGTCTGAGGCTGAATCGATTTAATCTTCACAGGTTAGTCTAACTTGCATAGACTGAACCAATAAGCCAGGGAACAGACGTTCACTTTTGATTCCAGAAATGCAGCCACATGCCTGCAGTGGCCCAGGCCAGAAGCCTGGGGGGTGTTAGAGCACATCTACCTGCTGGGCTGGAGCAGACAGCTTGGGCCAAGGCTAGCCTGCCCAACCTGTGGGGGCGGAAGGGGTGTTTTCAGGGAAGGTGCAAAGCATTCTGGGATGCTGGGGGACTGTGAGGTAACTTGAGTCTGGAGGGGATCTGGAATAGCAGTTCAATAAACTGATTTAACCTTAATCAGATAAGTCTGACACTATATCCATAGAGGCTTATCTTAAACTGGTTTGGCCATTTTGAAAGCAGTTTATATGCATTGAACCTCTATTGTGTTACAGATTTGAACTGGTTTCTGATCACTTATACCAGCTTATGTGTAACTTCTTTCCCTAGTCAATTGTGTTTGAGCACTAAGTGTAACATCTTGATAAATGGGTTGCCATGCAATTCTCAGCTAGCTGATGAGAAAAGATTCAAAGAGGAGACAGGTACAAAAGCATTATAATTATTTAAAAAAAGAAGACATGACCCATAGAGTTGACTCTGTAGATGTGGAGTGCTTGAAATAGTTTCCGAGTGCAGGAGTTCAGCCAAAATGCTCCATTGCTTGTTGGCCACATAATGCATTGCCTGTGATAGAGTCTAATACCAGTCAAGGTGATATAATAAGTGACTAACTTATCTCACTAATGCTTGATTTGTAACAGCTGTAACAGAAATGCATGGGTTTAAATAAATACCCAGCCAACTAAGCCTGACTTGGCACCATACATCCAACACAGATCTTATAACCAGATGTGTATGATTTTAAGTAAAAACCATTGTTTTGAATTTTCTAAATGTTTTAATTATCTTCTTTAAGTGACACTTTAGTTTAAAAAATCATTACAGTCTTCAGTTATATTTATCCATTTATAAAATCTGCTAGTTTATGAAATCAGACTGGTTTTTGCCACTGAAATAACATAACCTTTTCATTGCTGATAAAGTAACTTCCTTGTTTGGATACCAGCATTAGTGATGTTAGCATTAGGAACAAGGTTTTGATAAGCATCACATGCTGGCAGATGGGAACAAATCATTGTATGCCATATGTAGACAACAGCTATTGTGACGTTTTCTTTCTCATTTCCCCATTACAGATATTTGGATATTTCCTTACAAAAAATGCATGCATTTAGAATCAAGAGGACATTGCATATCTTCTCATAAGAAACTCAAGGTTGTACAAATTTGGAAGCAATATTATTACCCCGATCAAATCCTGTTGTTTCTCTACCCAATGTTTAAAGTCTTGGCATCACAATGTAAAGGGTCAAATTTTGCCTTGGAGTAAATGGTTGCAAATCTCATTGAGATTAATAGGTAGTGTATCCTGGAGAAAAACTTGTTTCTTGTGGGTAGAGGAATTCTATGTGCATCTATGTATGGAGGAGGGCCAGTATAAAGGCCAAGAGCTAGACCAGTCCAGAGGACTTGGTGTCCTATAGGTGTTCCATCATAGCGGGAGAGAAGTGCTATTTACTGGTACCTTTCACCCTTAGTGACCAAGAGGAAGAGCAGCACTGAGGGGAAGACAAAAGGCTTTAACTCAGACTGCCATTAACTGTTAGGAAATGCCCAACTGGAAACTACCCTCACCATAATGATCTAGAGATGTGCATAATGTTATAAATAAGAGAATAACTTACGGTGGCTGGATTTTAAAAGGGACTAAATTATTTTCTGACCAGCAACATTTGTGCAGTGATTACACATTGCAGATAGATAATGATGAGAAGTTAGATAAAGACAGTCCAATCTATTGCTTTAGCAGCCCAATTGAACACTGTAAATATTTGCTCCATGCTACCACACGTTTTTTTTTTCAGCTCTTTCATCTTCAGCGCTGTGCTCCTAGCAAAGTTTGCTATAGGCATTTCTTGCCTATTCACAGCAATGTGGAAGGGACTGCAAAGGTCATCTAGTCCAATCCACTGCACAGATGTAAGATTTGCTACATGTTTGCACAAAATAAATATTATAAGATCATGATCACTGCTGTTCCTGTAGCTTTGGAAGTAGTAAGGAATGAGGTCAGGAGGAGGGTACAGATTAAAGCATCAAAGGTTTGCACTACTGATTATTTTTGTGTAAGCTCCAAAAGGAAAATAGGACATATTTCTGAACATTTCATAAGCATTATAATCCTGGTGGGTTTAAATAGGTATCTATAAAAAAAAAAAATGGTAGTGGACCAAAAAGGATCATCGACTTCACGTGGTGGACATTTTGTTCCATCCCGCCTGGAGCTCCAGATTGTGGTGCTCACAATTTCACAGAGAGGCACTAAAAGCCATAAGAGGAATCCCAGGATCTTTGTGGATCTCACTGACACTCCCTTTTCCCCAGAAATAAATAAAACCCTATATCTGCAAGGGGACTAGTGGTGCAGCGGGATGGTAGTTCAGTCCTCCTAGCTAATATGTAATTTGGAGCAATCTGGGCATGAAATGGAAGATAAAGCAAAAAGCTTGAGCAGCAAGGAGGTGACTGAATTAGGAGAGGAAGGGGGTTTTTCCAGATCAAAGCAGAAGAATGTGCTGAAAAAGGCTCAGCCTGCCATTCATCCCTTCTTGGAGAAGACCAAATATGTAGATTTATAAAGAGTGGCTTCTACATCCTCCAAGCAATCTTGGTTTATCTCCTGAATATGTATATACTAGTATTTGTGATGTTTTCTTTTCCAAGGCACATGCATTTATACTATGCAATTTAGCCCTTTGCCTGCATTTGTCATGCTCACTTTGAAGATGTACTAACATGTCTGGATGCTCAACAAAAACCATTAAACCATTCAGGTTGGATCATTCTCTCAGTCTCATACTTTCCCACAATTTGTCACCGGTTTGAAAACATTTAAACCTTCCTTAAAAGTGTTCAAGCGCAAGAGACTGAGACACCTGCAAATTACCCCATAGACCATGACATGGGGTGGGCCACCCGGGTCATGGCCCGAGCAACTTTTAGCATGTTAATTTAGCAATCTATGCAGTTAAAAAAATAGCTAAAAAGTTTGAACTGGAATGACGACTGCACATTTGTGGGTTATATAAATTAACATACTAAAAGTTGCTCGGACCATGGCCCGGGTGGCCCACCCCGTTCCGCGGCCTATGAATTGCCCCGACTAGCATGATTTACCTCCAGAGTGGGGCGGTGGTCCACACAGCAGTACCATTCCCTGACCTTGGCGGACTGAGACTGTACTTCTTGTTCTTGTTTTGAAGTTTTCAAGATCTGTTAAGAAAGAGAGAAGGAAGAAATGAATGAAATGGCATTATTGTTGTCAATCAGCAGGGTTGCATGTATGTTAGGGCTGTTTTCTTTTCTGAGGGAGATGCAAAATGAAAGGAACTTGGAAGAGATGTCTGCTGAAGTCTGCTTCTAATACATAGGAAAAACAGGCTGCTACCTAGGGCAGCAAAATAGAGGCAGCAAAATGCTCAATAAATGTTCACATGGATAACTATGGCTGGGTAGGGGTGGACAGTTGTTGATTCACCTATGGCAGAACTCTCCCCCAGAGATAACTCTGATTACATATGGCGCCCGTGCAATTAATATAAAGCCATTCTGAGAGGAAGTATTGCTGTAAACTGCCGTTTATCCTCACTCATTTTACACCCCGTGCCTGAGCGCCTGCAGATTATGATTCTTTGTCTTTTGTAGGAGCCTTGCTATTGGTGCCTCACACAGCCTGCGTGGGAATGCAGATCTGCAATCCTGAGCACTGCGAAGTTCCCAGTAGCAAAGCCCCCTGATACAGCTGACATACATTAGCTACACCGTGCTTTATTACACCACATTTTTCACTTTATCTTCCCCACCCACATATGCTTTCTTATAGGCACCGTGAAAACATTTTCTCTCTCCCTGCCCTACACACTGGGTTGAGGAAACCTACTGTTAATTGTTGATGCCATACTTAGTGACCCAAGTCCTGGCACCAAATATTGATCAGAAGCATCAGCTGCTGTGGGAGCTCTTGTGCAGTGAGTCACTTAAGTAGCCCTTTTATTTTATACAGAGACTTGCTTTGGAGTCTTCACTTCTTTTTGCTTTCAATGAAGCTGAGCCATTTTTGGCTATATCAAAATTGTCCTTTGGTGCAACAAAAAGACACAGCAAGTACACAAGCAATACACGCATTGAACAATAAGAAAATGATCATAGCATAGCAAAATGAGAACATTATCTCCTTCAATATGTTTTTTAAGAATTAACATAGATGCATGCACAGTACAGAAATTGGAGGAAGTCTCTGCTCTGTTTCAGACACAGCACTAAATCAGGTTTTAATCTCAAAGAGTTTTCTTAAATCCTGCAAAAATATGCTCTTGGCTTATAGGAGTATGGTTACATACGTGCAAATGGTCTGTGTGACAGCAGTCTCCTTCTCTCTTGCCCCTTGGGCTGAGAGATTTTCACTACTGCCTCAGTCACTGTGAGCATATGAATATAGGGAAGGCATTATTTGGAGGGGAAGATGGATTATAATATTCATATTGAGATAGTACCAAGGGGCCCCAGTCCTGGACCAGGATTTGAGTATTTTAAACACAAACACAGACAAAAAAGATGGCCCATACCCCCCAAATAACACAAGCTAAGTAAAAATAGTGATTGCAATGAAAGTGCTGGTTACTTACAAGATTAGCCATATTTACATAATGGTCAACTTAATTTCATTGGACCACTACTCTCTACATGAGTCCATCTTAAAACGTTCCATTATCCTGCAGTATACACTCTTTTTCTTGATCAAATAACACTGTCCACATTCAGAGGATGGATAGCTCTTGAAGGGAAATGAAGGAAACCTGTGCACTGCAGCGAGTTGTTTGTGTAAATGTGAGCACACCAACACAGTAGCGCAACTAGGGTGTGACGACTGGGGCACAGTTACCAACTAAACGGGGGTCAGGAGGGCAGAAAAAACCCATTGCTGCAGCAGCCGTGTGATTCAAGCATTGCCAAAGCAGCAGCTGGAAGCAATAGTATAACCCACCCCTGCCCCAGTTAGTGAAGGAGCTTGTTATTCCTCTGGCCAGAAGTCACTGCTGACCTCATGTGTTGCAGCTGTGCCAGGCGCCCGGCTGTGTCCTTACACCTCTGCTCCAACACAGCAGCACGTCTCAGCTCCTACTGATGTCAGTCAACTAAATGAGTACATTAAGGGCCGTCAGCTCTTTGCAGAGGTGCTTAGCCGTTTTCATGATTAATATAATATTGACAGATCCTGATGAACATCTGGACCTATCTGTAGCAAAATCAATGCAGGATGCAGCACAATGTATGGATAAGGAAAGAACAGCATTAGTGGAAGCCTCTGGATTGGACATCATCAAGTGGTCTGGGTCTATCCAACAGTATTTTGGTCTGGCAAACTTTCTTTGCCTTCCTAATCCATTACAAATCTGTCGCTATTCATAGTCTAGAGAAGTTGCAGGAAATCAACATGGCGAGAGCTCTTTAAGAAGGGGAAAATGGACTTTTACACTTAGTAATGGGGAAGCAATTTTTCTCGAGGCCCAGCTCCGTGTTGTGTGGGCACCCAGAATTCCCCAAGGAGTTATGACTGCACAAGGATGCAGGACAGGACAGACCCCATTTGTATGGATTATTGGTACGAAACCAAAATGGTGTTGTGGGCTGGGTGATAAAACGTGATGTTAGGAAACATTTTTTTTTAGCAGGAGAACCAGTTTCACAATGGAATAATCTGCCAAGGGAGGGAGGCATAAATAATAAGTAACAGCAGCAGCACACTACAGTGACTGTTGCAGGGCATCCCTGCCCAAGGGGCTGGAACTGTAGACTTAACCATACAAATAGTCACTGATCATGATTTCCTTTGGGACTATTCACATGGGCAAAGATTGCAAGATCAGTTCCCTGGAGCAGTGGAGCAGACTGCATGGCTCAGGAGATCTTCTCCAGTCTGTTGAGCTGCTGTTGCACAAATCCAAAGACATGTCTTTGCTCCATCGTGAGACTTTATTGCCATTGTTTTTCTTCTGCCTTACTTCAAGTCAACACCTGCACTTCGAGCAACGCATGTGGTTAATGAGATCAGCTTGAGAACAAGAAAACATTTTGCACAGTGCAGCCGTACAAAAGACAGGATTCCAGACCAGTGCAAGCTTATTATTTAAAGCTTATTATTACATTCTTACTGTTGCCACCTCTGTCATGAGTCTTCCCATATTTGATATTTTGCTTGCAGCTCCATCTCTTAGAGGGGAGTGATTACATGAGCGTCTTGCTTGTCTTTTTTATACAAATCTGTTTACATTCTAGGTTGTAGGGGGGAAAAACCTTGGAGTTAGTGCACTTCAAGGATAGGTACAGACATTCAAAAAGCCTAAGGCAGAATCCATCTAAGTTGCACAGTTTTTTCTAAGTGGTGTGGTTTAGATCAGTCATGAACAGAACGCACATTCACCCTTTGGTGGTGGTGGGAGGGGGGAATCTTAGACTAGGTTCCTACATTTTTAATTCAGTCTGTGTGCAGTGTACTTCTGTTTTGTTATGGGTATAGGCCGATTTCTGATCACCAGGGATCCTGGTTTCTCTGTTTAAAAAATCACAGATCCTCTGATTAAAAACCTCCAAATCCATGATTAAAATGAAACACCGCTTTATACATAGGTATCAGTTGAAAACAATGTTTTATTGATATATTTACAATTTGAAAGCAATTTGGAAACCTACCAGCACCTCATCCACTATAATAAAATAAATTCTAAGTACCTATACATTTTTGGTATTTGCTTTTGAGTTTTTTATCATGAAAAAATCAGAGCTCCCCCCTGCCCCCTTTGCTCACCAAGACACAAGTCCAGGCCCCTCACTCCCAAGTCACAACCCTCCAGCCCTGCTGGTAATCCTCACTCCATATCCACAGCCACCAACTGCTGGAAGGGGCCCCTAGCTGCCAGGGCTATGGGGCCCCCCAGGGTGGCACAGCCAGAACAGAGCCCATGGGTGGGGGTGGGAGTGGGCTGCCTGCTGTGGGCTCAGGCTCCCTACCTTGCTGCCCTCTCCCAGGGCCTCTGCGGCCCAGTGGGTGAGACCCGGCATGGCAAGGCAGGGCAGGGCAGGGTCGGACAAGGAAGTTTGCTGCCACTTCTGGAAGCTCTGCATCACCCTAGCAAAGTGCCCCCTGCCCGCCTGGCAGCAGTGACGAGTACAACTCTGTGCCACCACCCCCTCTGCTGCCAGGTGGGCAGGGGGCACTTTGCTAGGGCGGCACAGGGCTTGCAGTGGCAAGGAGCTCCCCTTGGAGCTCTGCCAGCCTGCAGAGGGCTCTTTGCAAAAGTGGAAAACCTGCATGTTCCTCTGCGAAAATGAAAAATCCATGTTTTTCTTGCTTAAAAGGGAAAATCTGCATTTTTTCCATCTTCCCATGGGAACCGGAAACCCTGGATCCTTCCTCACTTATTATATTGGTACAAGTGTAATGTCTGTACCTGGCTCAAAGGCTCAGAAACAAGAAGGCAAATAAAAAGCATTTAAACAAATCTCATGATTTTATATTGCTAAATTCATAACTCTTTTGCATTTAAAGGTACTAAAAACTATGGACTGCTTCTTCCCTACTCAGCCTTGTTCTTTACTGCTTATAATCATGAACACCAAAGGATTCCTACTGAAGCCAGAAAGACTATTTCAATGAACAGTGCTCACCAATATAAGCAAGGGTTGCCCTTAATAAGCAAACAGTAAATTAAATATATTAACTTAATACATGAATATTTAGATTAGAGTGTGCAACCCCATTAACCACAATGGGAGAACCATTTATACATTTTGTCTTTGTGTACCTTGGTTTTTTCTCTGTCAAAGATTGAGTGGGGAGGGAGAATAAAGGGCCTTTTGGTCATGTGTCATAATCAGATCATTGTTGCCTGAAATTCTGAAATTCTGGTTATATTTACATGGAGAGAGAGTATTCAGTGTAATGATGGGTGTGAACACAGAGAAAGTCTCTAAGTTTTTTTTTGGATGCCGGCAAAACACCTAGTAATCTATTTATGATATGAAAAGTGCAGGAAGTAGCCCATTTGGGAGATCTGCAAGGAATACTTGGAGCTCACTTCCAAGTAAATTCCAGGTTGAAAATATAAAGATCATTCATTGTAACATACTGAATTTTGTAAACAGGGCCTTGACTTTGCAAGCACTTATGCATGTACTTAGCCTTATTCAGTGAACAAAGGCACAGCTGTGAACCT